GATGAATTTTTCCCCCTCCCTCGGGGTTAAGAAAAAAAAAAAATTAAAATAGAAAATGTTTGTTCGTCTCCACGTTATCGGCATCGCGCTTTTCACCCCGCTCGCCGACGGCCGTGTTTGGCGGTGTCCCCGTGGGCAGGCAGAGGGGGAGCGGGGGGGGGAGCAGCCCTGTCCCCCGCAGCGGCCGGAGCCGAGCAAAGTCGGGGCGCTGGCAAAAGAACTCCCGACCGAGACCCTGTTCCTTTCTCTCCAATACTGGATTGTAATTATTTAATCTGTGTAGAACACGTCTGCGACAGAGTTAAACTCAGTACTTCGACTTTACCGAAAAGAAAACATGGCTTCTCAGAGTTCAGTATGAATTTTACAACTGATTTTAAAGCAGACAGGATTCCACCTTTCTATAAAAACAAATAATCCCCTATTGCATTTTTCCAGCAATGAACATTTCTGTAACTTTACACTCTTTATCACCTCCTGGAAATAGTATCTTTCCCTCTCAAAAGCTAACCGGTTTTGATCTTTGAATTTCGCTGTAAGCTCTTCTTTGTCTTTTTGCTTTGCAACTGATGTTCGTTATGGTAGATTTTCTGTTTAGGCCAATATTGTGGAAGGAATGCAATATGCCCTATAGGAAGGACTGGTTTCTGTATATTTCTGTATATTATATTTGTCTCTCTTTCCTGGTATAATGATGTAATTTCCTTTTGACCGTAGCTTTTTCCACTTCCTAATACTTCCTAACGATCTACTTCTCTATCTGCAGCTCCTTTATTTCCTTTTTTCATAACTATTCCCGAATCGAAGTACATGTGAACATCGACTTTAATCTACTAAAAACCTCAACAAACTTAAACTAAACTTCTTTCTTTCATGGCCGATCTTGAAGATTCTTATTCTCTGGTGCTTTAAGCTCCATCCCACTCTCTCTGCTATCAGTCTTCTTTTGGTTTTACAGAGCTCATTAATTAAAAATAAGTAATAATCATTAAATCTGATACATGCAAAGCGTGCTGTCCAAGGCTTACACTTTCTCTGAAACCCTCAATTTTCTATTTTGCATTTAAACAAGACACTTTACTCCTTGGAACAGGGATTACCCACACCAGTGGAGGATTCAGGATTGAGCTTTTCATTTGCTCTGTGTGATCATCCTGGAGGAATTATTTTGCAAATTGACTGCAAGCAAAGCAGCAAGGAACAAGCCCTCCTTGCTCTCTAAGTTGGTTTGGGGCGAGCTTGTGCAGAGCTGAACTGGGGTGGACACTAGTGGGGCTGCCCAGCTGCCCGGGCTTTCCTTCCCTTGGACTGCTTGGAGCTCAGCTCTCAGGAAAGGCTCAGAGGATGGGACTTTCGCTTCCCCACCAGCACACTCCCCTTGGGCAAACGGGGAATGGCTGCTGGGGTTACCTGGATCATGAAATTGCAACAGTCACACTGTCAGCAGCTGGCTGGAGTACAGGCTCTGTACCTACCGCCGCTGCAGCGCCATTCCCCTCCTTGCCCCACATTCACCCCACAGGCTGCGTGGGGAGCACAGGGGGCAGGATAAAGCTCCAGCCGAAGGGCAAAGCGTGCCCAGCACAGGACGTGCTCTCCCTCAGGCCCCGGATGAGCTCCTGTAGCTGGAGTGTGGGGCCCCTTCCCCTCCCTGTCAGAACGCATCTGTGCAAGATGCACAGGCCAAAGGGTGTAGGTGGTATGTCTGGAGCAGCCCAGTAGCACTGGTGACCTTGAAAGGGGCCGCTCTAAAGCAGAGGCAGTGATCTTGCCCCAGATACCCCGAGTGTCTAGGCAGCTAACCCCGCTTTATGTCACTGGCAATTAAGTGACTAAAGCCCCTTGAGAGTCTGGCCCCAAAACTGAAGTGGGTGGTGCTAGGAAAACGGGGTGAAAGGTAAGACAAAAGTAAAGTCTTCAAGCAGGTGTTGAGAAACTGCAATAGAGGACAGGAGTGTCCCTGAGGGAAGCTGTCCTGTCACCAACAGCATCGCCTTCTACAGACCTTCACAAAGACACAAGGCATTTTGTGCTTTGGTCAGCTTACAAGGTTATATACTGGATTTCAATGTATAATTCTTTGTCCTACACTGTAAGGTAACAATTAAGTTATTAAGTAGTCATAAAATTCTGATAAACATCTGCTACTGGTGAAATTTTATTAAATTCTGATGCATAACCTCTACTAGAATAAAACTGGCAGCCAAAACTATAAACTTAAAACAGATCCCTCTATTATTTTCATAAGGCATTATTTTCTTCCTCTGTGGCATGCCAGGCCACCAAGAGGTAGCAGTGCTTTGGCTAGGTCCACGCTAGCTGACTGGCTGTCACGTGGGCTGACTGGTGAGCAGGCTGCTGCCAAGCCAAATATTTGTTTCCTGTTAGTGAGCCAGTAAGCTGGACTTCTTCTCAAGCCGTTAGGTTTCACAAGCCTCCTGTCATCATCATTGGTTTTGAGACTTCTGGTCATCTATCACATTTGGTTGAGGCTTTTTTTCACAGGTGGCAAGCAGAAAATAAGATTGTGTGAGCCTTGCACTTTGAGGTGTCAGGCTAAAAAGGCACTTCTGTCTCCCAGCTGAAAATGTTAATCAAAATGCATCTCATGGCTGTTTCCAGGGCAGAAAGATTTGTCCCTGATACTGCAGCGAAAAAGATATGAGCACATAAGCTCAACTTTACAATAGCAGTCCACAGTTTCTTGCCATTTTGGGTGGAATTCTGATTTTATTTACACATTGTAGATGACAGCTGCTTTTAAAATGTTGAGTAAAGTAACTCTGCTGACTTCAAAATGGTTCAGCTGGGTGAAGCAGTGCTGGATCTGGCATGCCACACAATGAATGACAGAAAGGCTTTGGCTGTATGAGAAGTTACCATGAGGGAGTTTACAAGGGAAAGAAACACTTCCAGTCTTTAGTTTTTTTTTTTTAAAAAAAAACGTTTAACTATACGTGGGCCAAACCCCAGATCCAAAAGTCCCCATTTCCAAAAGTAGGGCAAAATCTGCATCTGAATTTTTCAGTTTTGCCCTAACTTGGTACTGAGCTGCTTTTTGCCCCTACGAATGTATGTTGTGAAGAGGGCTGTTTCAGCTTTGTGCAGCAAGAAGGTACAGTTTATTTTCGCATACAGCAAACTTCCAGACTGAGAATCAGCAAAAGGCACACATCCAGATCTATAT